ATATATACTATATACTATATATATATATACTATATACTATATACTATATATATATATATATATATATATAGCTGTTTTTATGCTTTAATACTGTGAATATTTGCTGTTAAAGTAGGCTACCTGTTTTTAGTTAACTCCTTTGGTCTGACCGTGTTTCAGGTGTACCTGCTCAGTGGGCTTCGTAACAACACCGTTCTGGAGTTTTCATCTCTTGAGAACTTTGCAAAGACTTCTTCTCTTCCAGCCAAGGTGCTGCAGCTGCCTTTTTCCTGGCACGGCACAGGTCACGTGGTCTATAACGGATTCCTATATTACCACAAAGCAGATACACCCAACCAAATATTGAAGGTTTGTGAGTGAGATAAAGAAGCTAAAACCTGCTACACGCTAATAAGACATGTCTCTTCTTATGAATTGTTTTTAATCCATTTAAACCATGGTGGAGTGAAACAGTTTGTTCTGTAGAGTTGCAACCAACTGCACAATTTACCAAATACGGCTGATATTCAAGCAGAGTTTTGTTGAAGTGCAGAGCAGCTGTTCAGAGTCTTTGCAGGAGCTTCGTCATCAGGGAGTGGGTTCTGAACTGTTTCCTCTCATTCTCTGTTAGTTGAGGTCAGTGAGACCACAGAGCCAAAAGAAACAATGTTCATCCACTGAAGCAACTTTTTTTTTCAAGACACTTTTTGTGTGTTCTGGAGTCCGTGGCAAATAGCCTTCAGAAAATAAAACCAAGCCAATATTTATGAATCTTTTGAGGCAACACCTAGACAAATGATCTTTTGAAATGGCTTGAAATATTTCTGACTCCAACCGTTTCCTCCTCTCAACAAGGTGGATCTACTGAACGGTACTGTAGTGGATAGCACTCTGCTTCCAGGAGCAGGTCGTCTTCCCGTCTACAGTCTGAATCCCAACACCTACCTGGACATGGCTGTTGATGAGCTCGGCCTCTGGGTTATTCATGCTGACCCTGAGTACGGAGGCAACCTGGTCATTACCAAACTGGATAAAGGTAGAGATAACAATCCTTATTTATTTTATTATTATTATTAATATCAAAATACACATCAAAACTTTATAAATCCACAAAAAAACTGCAGCACGTTATTTAAGAACCTTAGTCAAACTTGAAGACATAGTTTTAGTTTGCATAGCCCTACAGAACCTCACTGACCTACACAAGGCGAAGTCAGTGAACAAGGCCAGGCTGATTCTGGCAGATCCTGATCATCCACTCCATGGTGAGTTCAGGTTCCGTCCATCTGGATGCAGGTATCTGCTGCCCAGATGTAGAACGAACAGACTGAAAAACTCATTCAACCCTGTAGCGATCACGCTTCTCAACGAACAGTGATGATTTTTGTACTGTTATTTTACTGTCTCAATGTCTTGTCTAGTATGGATGTTTTGTGCGCCTACTGACTGTGAAACAAATTGCCTCTCAGGGATTATAAAGATTCTTGAACTTGAACTAGGAAATACAATCTGGCACATATTCATATTTTTCTGTTTGTTGTTATTAGAAACGTTGGCTGTGGAGTATACCTGGGATACCCAGTGCAGAAGCAGGGATGCTGAAGGAGCCTTCCTGATGTGTGGGACCCTTTATGTGGTTTACAACACACGCTTTGGAGGACGCTCCACCATCCAGTGTCTGTACGACATCCATGACACCATCCACAGGTTCGCATTTACAGGATCACAGAGACCAATCATGCACCATCTTTCCACAACTGTTTGACTTGTTTTATGGAAATACATTTCTTTACTAAACTATTTTCTAAAAGCCAATTGCTCTTTTCTTTCCTGACAGCAATGAGAGTCCAGTGATGTTCTTCCCAAAGCGCTACACCAGCCACAGCAGCATCCATTATCACCCCGGAGACAAAGAGCTGTATGCGTGGGACGACGGCTACCAGACAGTTTACAAAGTGGAGACACGCATCACTGATAAATCTGTTGCAGAGTAATATACTGATGTCTACAACTTTCATGATGCTGTATCATAAAACATGCATAATGACAATATGAATAACAAAAATCTAATGAAAATAAGAATGCATAATAAACAATGAGAGAAAATAACATTTAAATTGTTTTTCTTCAAGAATCCTTTGCTGGCAATGGATTCTCAGTGACTACAGCATTAACAACAATAATTGAAAAAAAAAAAAAAATATATTTCATTCCTTGTAAAGGCTTTTAAGTTTGTATTAAAACATTAAAATATTTTGGTGCATTTTCAGAATCTGCCTTTTTGAACAGACTGATCATGCTTTTGTATTACTTTGTAATATTAGGATCCATGTGTACTTTACCTTCAAAATATTCAAGAACAGTGGTGCCCAAAGTGGGGCCCGCGGGCCAAAGTTCAAGCCGTTTGAGTTGGCCCACCAAGCTGGCATCATTACTATATTAAAATTTCCTTTGAATAATCAATGTGTTTACACTCATTGATTCCATCCATTGAATTTAATGTTAGTTGGCCTGACTACTGTAATGGCACTACACAGATCACACAGTAGAGTGGCTAATTTGTGTATTTTTAAAATGAGTTTGGTAATTTATATTCTTGTGTTTTATTTTGACAGACTTCCTACCTTCCCTCGGCAGCTTCCTGCCACTGAATAACATTTTCCTTTGACAGAGCCAGGAGCTCAGACAGCTTGTACTTTTGAGGGAGGTTGGTTGGATGATACATATATTATTGCATTTGGCCCACAGCCCTCTGAGATTTTAAATTTGGCCCTCTCAGGGAAAAAGTTTGGGCACCCCTGATTTAGAATAAGCAATTGTAATTTGCATGTTTTTAACTAATGACCTTTTTTTTTCCTAAACAGCAAAAAAAGGACTATATGGTTTTCTTTTATTTAACATTTGTTAAATGCAGATCTGAAACTGCATAATATAACCTACCCATTCTAAAATGTATATGAACAAAATGTTAAGTTATAGTTCATGTTGAGCTCAATTATAAAAAAAGTTACTTTTATTTTGAAAGTCAAAGTGCAAAATGGCCACAAGAGGGTGACAAAACCCCTTTAAGTTTGTTTATTTCCATTTCCACGAATTATTTTTAAGTGGCAGTGTTTTTATTTATTTATTGACAAAAGAAAAAACAAAAACCAGATGCGACAGTATGGTAAGGATTTACATAAAAATAAAAATAAAAATCCTGTCAGATTACACTGAGGTACTCCTGGCTTTAAAATCAGTACAGCCGCTGTTTATTGTCCACAAGAGGGCAGCAAAGACCAATTAACGAGAAGAAAACTTCCCGTGGGCTCTTAATTGACTCAATCTCATAACTCACAAGCTTAGTAAAAACATAAAATAATCATTATTGTACACAGTCTTATAATGTATAATGTTTAATGTATAGTATTGTTGACAGAATATGGTGATACAGTTTTGTGGCTTAAGCAAAATGATTGATGGGAGACCAAAGTTTTGAATATTTTACCTTAAAATAAATAAGTTAAATATTTTACCTTGTTTTTTTATTGTGTTTGTAACTAAATTTTTCACTAAAGGTTAAGTGGAAAAAAAAAAATCTTCGGTTTATCCCGCCCATTTTTAAAGTTACGATGACGTAAAAAGGGGCGGTGCTAGGGCAACCGTTGGTCTGACTGACAGCCGTTCACAAACGCAGCAGTGATTTTATTTTGTTTTAGAAACGCAGAAGAAAATCTGTACATTTTTTAAAGATGGGAAGGAGAAGCAGCAGTACCGTCGGCAGAAGAAGCTCAACCTTTAAAAGACGCAGTGAAAGTTTACATTTTGACGAATTCGGCTTTGCTTTAACTAAAAAAAAGGACCGGAAACTTCATCACCGATGTCACGATTACAGGTGCGGGACAGGTTCAAGGCAATTAACAGTGAACTAGTGGAAAATAACTAATTCATGAAGTTAATTATATGAAGTTATTTATATTATTTGTTGTTTCAAATACAGTATACCTCCTTTTGTACTTACACCTTGTTTTGTTTGAATAAACACACAAAAACACTTAATTGAGCTCATTGCTAATTATGTAAATTACAATGTTTACACTCAAATTAAGCTTTTCTGGTGAAGTAATAATGGGAAGTCAGGTTTTTCCACACGTTAGCTGTTTTATTGGTGATTTATGTAAAATGACAATAAAACAGCAAAAATAAATTCTTTATTGCTTCTATAAACAAGATTTCAGATGATCAGTTGAAGTCATTCTTACTTTTATTCAACATTAATCACTGTTTCTGCAGCAGAAAGTGACCTAATCCCAAGGTTGATGAATCATAACCTTGTTTTGTTGTTAGTTACCCCCAGCTGAGCGCAGTCAGAGTTAAAGAGCTTTGTGAGCTGCTCAGCTACTGGAATGGAGACAGTTTCATCTGCAAGAGCCAGGTGAGTTTTGTAAAATCTTTTTCAAAAAGGGAAAAAAGTTTACGTTGTTGCGTGAACGTAATTTTTATTTTTCAGATTGAGCGTTTCATTCGAATGGGCATTCCTCCCAGCCTGAGAGGAAGTGTGTGGAAGTGCCTCCTCAACATCGAAGCTTTGAGAGAAAGTAGTGACTTCAACTATCAGGTAGAATGTTATGAAGTCGACGTCTGTCGGCCCAATGTATGAAGAAACAGAACAACTTGCTTTATAGCAAAATACTCAAGTTAGTTAGTTCAGCAAGAAAATAAATTCATCTTTTTACGTTTCCAGATTTGAGGTTTAGGTTTTGGTTTGGAGTCCAATTAAATGCCACAGCTTACTGATCTCGCTAAACACAGAAATGGCTATAATAACTTGGCCAATTTTACAGATACTGAATTAAGTTAGGCATGAAAGTAGCTGAGATTCATCCTTAGCACCTTTTCTGTACTGTAACACATTTTGCAAGTTGCATTTACCTTCACAGCACAAGATGTTTAAAAACTAGTGGCTACTGATTTGCATTCCTTCAAGAAATGCAAGTTTTTTGTTTTGTTAAAACTTTTGTCAAGGACATTTGAAAAGCTTGCCTTTTAATTCTGAAATTTTATGACTTTTCATTGTTGTTGACATTTAGATTGTATTATCTAAAAATGAATTACACTAATAGTTTTTTTCCCTCCTCTATTCTTTGAAAACACTGAAAAAAATTGCATTTTTGTGACAAAACAACTTCACTTTGAATGTGGCACCAATGTTTTTATTGTCCAAATAACTAATGCTTGTAGACACGAAACGTCCGATTCACACTACAAATATTAAAATGTGCAGATTTTGAAATCAAGTAATGTTGACTTTATAAGCTTGAACTTTAATAAATTTTATTATTTTGCTGCTTTGAAATTTTACTCTCCAAATATAGTAAGTCGGTCAGGAACTCGCATGAACATAAACTGATAATAAATCTTAATTTCTAGGCTAAAGTCTGTTACTGAAGAAAACATGTTCACATCTTTATTCCTGTTTTTGATTTAACAGACGTGCTTATCAGAGGTCCGGGGGCCCCTTGTGGACTTGGGTGTCAGTGAGTACGGCATCTTGTCTGCCATTTCCACGCTGAGCGACACCCAGAATGATCTGGGTTTCAGTCGGTCCTCGAGCTGCTCGGAGTCCTGCTGCTCTGTAGATGAAATCAGTCTGTTCAGACAAATCGTCCTGGATCTGCGTGAGTTCAAACGGAGAGCCTTAACAAACTTTGCTTTTGTGTTTTTTAGTTGAGTTTTATAGAGGTTATTTAGTTTTTAGACTATTTTGGATCAGTCTTTAAAAAAAAAAATACATGCAGGTTTTGGTATTGTTGTTTTAGCTACTGAGTTTTTGTACTGCGCATGTCAAAAGATTAACAAAGCTGCTTTTTGTTTGGCTTCAGAGCGTTCCTTTCCAACCCACCGGTCTCTGATGGGAGACAGTCCAGAAGCCATTGAGGGTCAGGCTAAACTTTTCAGAGTCCTCATTGCTTGCGCAAAATACAACCCACAAGTCGGCTACAGCCAAGGTAAAACAAATGATTGTCTTTGAACAACCTTCTCTTCTTTCTGCATTAGCTTCGCCCCTCCTTTTGAAAGCATTTCAGGGGATGGAGGTATTTTAATAATCACTGACTCTTTCAGTGTTCAGAAGTTGCAGCTGTGCTCAATGTCACCAGCAGGTGGAAGTAGAGGACTTTTATTATCCCTGTCTGCTCAACAAAAGACAATTGAAACGTTTATGTGATTTATCCAATTAAATTAACCACACAGATGTTCTGGTCAAAGCTCGATTGTAAAGTCATCTTTATAAACAATTATTAGTCTGGAATTTTAAATTGCCAACCATAATGTTAAGATAGGGAAACCTCCCCAAGACGTTTGGTCTTTATAAGGGGTGCAAAAAAGTAAACATTTGCTCTTTGTGCATTTTATGTGTCATTTAAAATATAGAAATTTAAACTGGAAGAAGCCTAAATAGCTAGTTTTAGTCCTCTTCAGCCCTTTTGGGACATAAGGCCGCTATCAGCTGCCTCCACTTGCTTCCATCATTGGCTGTGCTTCACCCCAGGTAAGATTAATCTCCTGCAGCTCTGATGTCACTGTCCTTCACCATGTTGTCCTTGGCCTTCACCGTTTCCTTTTACCAGGTGGTGGCCAACGCAATGCTACTTTAAGTATATGCTAACTGCCCACCCTCAGTATGTGATCCAGCCATTTAAGATGACGTGTATCTGGTCTTCTAGTCTACATTATCATTAGTCATTCCCACAGGCCAGAATATGCCACATATTCTCCTCAGACAGCTGTTGTGAAAGCCATTCCAGTTTTGTCATGTCAATCTGTGTGTCACATTCAGAACGGTACAGCAAAACAGATTTAACATTGCTGTTGTACAGCCTCAGCTTGGTTTGGAGGTGGTAATGCTTAGACTTCCACATAAACCGCAGTCAGGCAAAAGCAACACATGCTTTTCCAACCATGCTGAAACATCTTTACTAATTGCATTGTCAATGCTCATAAGACTTCCAAGGAA